AGAGATAACACGCTGGAAGAACTCCTGCTGTGGCTGCAAAACGGCACACGATGGAATCAAAACTCGAGCCCAGAGGTTATACCCGGGACACCACAGCTGGAGAGCTGAAAGGACCCCCCTCCCCCGATGTCATCACAGATGTAAACATTCACAGGGGCAGAACCCAGACATCTTTATGCGGCAGCGGAGCATAGAAGTCGTGCTTTTTCCAAAGCATCAGCAATACTGAGCACTACATACACCACTTGAACTGGAAATAATCCCTGCTGCAACTTGGCGCCCCGCTTCCTCCTACCAATTGCCTCTTTCTAAATCAGAGAGGTTGCTGGTCTGACTCATTTAAAAACGTCTCCAGAGCTGGCCCCGCCATTTTAGAGACTGACCACACTGAGGAAAAACAGGAGGATCCCCAGGAGGCTGTTTACCACGAGGATGACCAAGCTGACAGACAGCCCACAGGGTCCAAGGGCCGCTGGCCTCTGGGGTCCACCAAGGGCTGCATCCCACCTGACTCTCCAGCTTAGAACTGTCAACAGCTGTCTGGTTTCCAGGAGGAGGGCCTCGGTTTGCATCCCTGGGCCTTATCAGGGGAGGGACAAGCTCAAGTTCAGCACTTATCATACTTGAGACACATATACACACCCCATTCACACACGTCTAAGTGTAAGCCGGCTTCCATTCCCCTGAGGAGGCTAATTACACACACCTCCATCCAGGTTTTGGTTTGGCACAGAGCCATCCGTGTAGCAGACGCCTGACCTCCTGGTCTGAGCAGGGCAGTAGCCTGGGTGTGACATCACCAGGCTCTAGGGTCCCTGTGACATTAACAATGTGTGAAGAATGGAAGTTTAGGTGGATGGGCAGCATGGGGGATGGAGGGTGCATTCAAGTGAAGGAGAACACCGCGGGACGGTGCCCATGTCTGTACCAACTGCCCGACGCAGCCAAGCCACCTCATGTTTGGTTCCCCCACGCGTGGGGCTCTGCGGGCCATGAACGTGGCCACCAGGATGCTGACCGTTGAGCCAGCCTCTCCCGGGTCCTATGCTGTTGTCATTTGGCAGCTCAGAGACAAATTTGAAAACTGTCTCCTCTCGCATTTGCAAACCTTAGTCATTAATAAACTTTCATGGGATATACTGGTGGAGTCCTGGTCCCCTGCCAGTGTCAGAAGATTTCATCTGCAGTTCTCTGAGGTTCTATTACCTTGTAATTATTCTCTAAGAAACCGAACAATGAAGGAATGAGCACTGGACTAGGAGTCAGATATCCTGTGTTTCAGTCCCAGGACTGACCCACAGGGTGAATGCTTATCGGGAAGCTGGCCACGATGACTGCATTTCCTTTCGTTCTTTCCAGTAGCTGAGCACCTCCTATGTTCCAATCGCCTTTCTAGGAGCTTACGATCAACCCGCTGGTCAGCAAGAGACAAAGACCCCTACCCTTGTGGTGCTTGCGACCTAGCTCACTCACACTCTTCCTCCAGAACTTGCTGTCGCTAACTCATGCCTGCTCCTCACGCAGAATCTGAATTGGAGAGTGAGACACTGGACAGCTGGTGTGGACCTACGCTGCTCAGTACTGCATCCACGAGCCTGGTGTGTCTCTTGAGCACTTGAAATGGGACAAGACTACATTGAGACACACTGGGAATGTAAGATACACCCTGGATTTCAAGAACTCAGGAGGAAGGGGGAGAAAAGTAACATATTTCATTTATATGCTTTACACAGATTACATACAGAGATGCCACCACTTGCCACAATGGGTTAAATAAAATTATTAAAATTCTTTTCACCCACGTTTGCTCTCTGATGTGACTTCTAAAATCTTAACTGTGGCTCTCCTATTTCTACTGGGCAGCACTGGCCTACTGACCTTGTTACAACGAAGAGACTGAGGCCTGAAGAGGTATAGACGCAGCCAGGACCCACACTTGAGCATTCTCACAGGTCAGGGCAGCCTCAGAGGCCGGGAGGGAAGAATAAAGACCACGAGAGGCCCGGGCACCGGAGGCCGCAGGAGCACTCGCTCCCAGCCAAGCCAGCCGGCGCCCTGACACGCGGCAGGTTCTTAGTGTCCACTTGGCGTCTCCTCCTGGCTTTGCCCCCTTCCCGCTGCAGCTACCTCACAGTTCCTCCACGGGAGGGCCACAGCCGGCCAAGCCCGTGCAGAGTCAGCCGGCCGCGATGCCCACCTCCCAACCACCACCGGCACTGGTCAGGGATACACAGGGGGTGTTTGGGGTAGGGTGTAGACAGCCAGGCAAGGGGGAGGATTAGTCTTCCTCCCACTCAGCAGGGCTAAAGCCAGGGGAGAGAGACCTATGGCAACGTGAGGGGGTGAGAGCAGCTCAAGATTCATGGAGAATTTTCTTCTCAAAATGGGTCCACAGAGGGTGAATACAGAGCCAGTGATGGGCCTTTTGGTGTTCAACCAGTAAAGCACAGAAGAGGCAAGGAATGAGAGATGGGGACCCTCGGGTGGGGTAACTCAGAGGCTCTCAGAAGGGTCTAAAGCTGGGTGAAAATGCAGTGTGGTGAGGAAGGAGTAGCGCTGATTTGTTCAAATATTTGAGTATGAATTCTGTGAGGCAACGAAGGGCAGTTAGGGAGAGTCATCCAACGGAGGCGGAGAATAAACAGAAGGTCAGAAGGGTACAGGTCCTGCAAAGGAGCTCGGCATCCGGGAGGGATGGCCAGTGCCCGGGAGTCCTTCAGGTGCTATTCGAGGGGCATGGGGTATGCACCGGCCAGGGGAGAGGCCTGCTATCGCTCTCATGGCGTCACTGTCTACAGGGCCCTGAACCAGGCCAGTGACGGCAGCGGGAAACAAAAAGTTAGAAAGAGAAAAGATCAGCAGAACTAGCAGCCTAGCGAGCTGGAGAGAGAAAGGCTGAGCGAGCCATGTGAGGCTGGTGTCGGGCTGGATGGGCAGGAGGGGAAGTGCCGGGAGAGGGCAGGTCTGGAGCTCGGCTTAAGGGGTTTCAGCTGCTGGCCAATTGGTAGCCCCTGCCTTTCGGCTTAAGCGCAGCCAACTGAGGCCACCATTTAGAAAAAGGCCCAGACACCACTCGGCATTTTAGGCTGGAGGCGTCCAACCCCAAAAGCTTCCGGCACCTGAGCCCATCAGAAGGATATCTACCTCAAGTACACTTCCCCTCTGAGAGGAATGGCAGCCGAAGGCCAGCAGAGCGCTGGAGCCAATCAGCAGGAGCACCGTCCGTGCACCAGGCCCTGCTCTAGGTGCTGGCGATTCAGCAGTGAGCACAGACCCCCACCTTCCTGGGAAGGGGGCTTTCCTGGGGCCCACGCGCCTGCGGTGAAGACAGAGGAGCAGAGGCCATCCTAGCTCCCCTGCACCCTTCAGAGTGCCTCCCCAGGCCTCTCCCCAAATCACCACCACCACCTTAGCCCCTGCAGCACCTGGCCCACACTGCTGCCTGGGGAGCACTTCCCTACTTACGGGCTCAATCATGGTGCTCCAAGAGAGAACCGCAGTTTGGGGACCAAGACTCCAAAAGGCGCTACGACTAAAACACAGGCTACACAGAGTTACTTAAAAATCAGCAAGTACACCTTCATACTGGGTTTTCTCCTGTTGTTCCAAGAAGTTCGGCCAACAGTTCTAGGCTGGGCTACAGGGTCCAGCTGTACAAAATCCACCAATGCTAAACAATTCCTAAGGCTTTTTCTTACATCGCTGGGTTATACAAGGATGCCTCCTCCAAACCATCTAAATTCCAAGGAGAAGCTTCCTCATAACACATGCAGTAAAAGGATAAAAAGGCTTGAAGCCAGAAGTCTTAGAAGCATCATAAGGGATCAGCTCTACTGCTGCATCCAAGTGTTTTCTTCAAACGCATGAACACTTCATTAGACACAAAGGTGGCTGCTTCATCATAATATAGCTCTGCCAACTCGGTAGGCTATAGTGAAAACACCAAGATGGTGGAATGCATTTTTGTGTATCCTCTTGTGTATTTCAGGGACATCACAAAAAAGCAATGAGCCTTATCTAATCAGAGTAATGTTTTATTTTATCCAAGTACCACCTTGGACTCCGTATTACTTCCCTTTAACCGCTAAATACACACACACACACACACACACACACACACACACACACACACACAGGTCTGTTGTGAAACCAAGAACCCCAACACAACAACACAAGTTTACCTGAACTCATGAAACTAGACTTGGGCTTCCATGACTACTGGTAACACACTAAAGGTGTACCATATCCATTCAGAGCCCCTGCGCCATCTCAAAGATGAAGACAAGGTACTACTTACTTGAGCAGTTTAAAAAAAGATCATGTCGTTTTCTAACTTTGTAGCAAAAGTGCCCGAGATCGCGGGCTCTGGGAGAACAAGGGCACTACAGTGCGCTCGGAGTTATCTTTAGTGCTAGGCGGTCCTCTGGGCTTTCAGAAGTACGTGGACTTCTCTGTTCTTTGAGGGGTAGTGCGAGATGTGCACAATTTGCCCCGGCCTTGAACACTGGGGGACGCTAGCCAAGTGGGGCATACTGGGAAATGCAGGGGGAAGGGGTCCTGTAACTCAGGAGGGGGGCTCGGTGAGCGACCTGTACTCAGAGTACAGCTGAGGAAATCAAGGGGGAAGAACCATGGGTACTCAACCGGATCCCACTCATTCTGACAAACAGGCAAGACCCGAGTCGTTTCCCTCAGAAGCACCCCGACATAATCTCCGGATACAAGGTGGGTACTGTGGAAGAAACTCAACACAGAGTGCTGTGGTCAGCTCTACGGACAGACACCGTTCTGAAACGAGGGACCTTTGTTTTGGGTAACCAGGAGGCCGCCTGGTCGAGAAAAAACAACAACAACTTTGTTTTGGTTTTGTTTTTAACGTTCAGGCTAAGTGAATGATTTTAACTTTCACAGCTACCTGAATGATTAGATGCAATCTGCCAACACCTTCTTTCTGCAAACTCCTTATTGAGAATAAATGTACTCTAAAGATATGCGTATACCTTAAGACACAAGGTTTCAGTTATCTCAAGTAAAAGCTGGACTCCAGAGATATTAAGCTTTCCATCTTCACAAACAAGAATGTCAAAGGACAGAACCCTGCGGGCACAGCTCAGACCGCTTCCCTGAAAGCGAAGAGAAAAGTCAGCATTCTCTAGTCCACACCCCGCCCCCTTCGATGGCAGCTCTCACATGTGGGTCTCCCTCAAAAATACCTTGGGGGATTTAAGACGCAGCACAGTTCTTGGTAAGCGCTCCGACCCCGCCCCGCCCCGCCCCCACCCGCCCCAAGCTGCCTGGCTTGCTTCCTTGCCAGCTTCTTTGCCAAGTTTACTCCCGTGGAAAGGTTAGTGTGGCCAACAATGGCCACTCTCATTCCCCACCCCCACCCCCTTGGAGGGCAGCCGGGCCAAGCCAGGAGTCTACTTTAGAAGGATTTAATAATCTTTTCCCTTATTTCCTGAGGTTCAGGTTCCTAACCCACCTACCAAATGCCCTGAATACCAACCGTCACAATACAAATGATTACAACAGTCTGCATAAACGCTGACTGTAGTAAGTGCACTTTTAAAGCACTCCATTGCTTGCATGCTATAACTCCAGAAAAAAAAAATAATAAAGTTTAAAAAAGCAGCAGGTCGCCACCTAAGACAAGGACTTTGCCAGCCCTACAAAAGCCTTTCTCCAGACAAAAAAGGAGGGAAGGGGACAGAGCTGATCCCTCCCGCGGGGTGCAGCCTTATCGGTTGGCTCTAGGGAGGATGGGTGAGCTGGCGAGTTCTCCACAGAAACTTGCCAGGCTTTTCTCCGAGAAGACCTCCCTTACTTGGAGGCAGCGCGGTTTTGTTTCCTCTCCTACCTGCGTTCAGGGGTCCAGCCTCCCAACCTGTACCGGTCAGGTTCACAACCCTCCTCCGGCTCCCCTCCCACCTCTGCGATCTGGGGCTGCCTCCCGGGGCGGCCGCGCCTTTCAGCCGCCCGCCCGCACCGCTAGCCAGCCGAGTCAACTCACTGTCAGGCTTTTAGTCTACACGGGTAAGCAACTTTCATTCCTAAAAGGGGGAGGAACCAGGCAGGGCACAGACTACACCGTATTCCCGAGAAGTTTCCAGGAGAAGAAGCGCAGCGCAGAAGGCACTCGCTTGGACCACTCTGCCGCTCACGGTATCCACAGCCCTGGGTGAGTCCACGGAAAGTTCAGGGAGCTCTGCCCTGGCCTCAAACCCCGGAGCTGGGCTCGGAGCCGGGGCAGCGCCCCTACACTCCCCCGCCCGAGACTAGCCCCTGACCGCTGCGTCTCCAACCGCGCCTCCCGAAACCGCCGCGTTCGAATTCGCGCCCGGCGGGCCGGCGGCGGGGGCGTGCGTGCGTGCCCGCGGGAGCGCAGGCGACGAGGGAGCGGCGGAGGCTCCGTCGGACCGGGCCGGAGCCGCGGGGCCCCGTCAGCCTCTCGTCGGCCGCCCCGCCCGCGCCGGCCAGCGCGCAGCCCGCGGGACGCGCGGAGCAGGAACTGGCCGAAGTTTGCCAAGCCCCGACCGAAGTCTCTGGAAAGTTGTAGCTCCCTCTTGGGGCGTCTCGACCGGTCCTCGCCAGGGGGCGGGGGTAGGGGGTGTGTCGTCGCGGGAACTGGAGGGGAAGGGAGCACCGAGGGCCCGGCACCTGTCTGCAACTCCCCTCCGGCTCCGGCGCCCCCGCCAGGCTCAGGGAAGACTTGAGCTCAGCTCGGCCAGGACAGACCCCCGAAGGCGGAGCGCGCGGCTCTCTGAGGCCGCCCCTTCCTCACACCTTTAGGGGAGGGGGCCGGGGACTCACCTGGGCGGCTGAAGAGGAGACGACAGAGGTAGGTCCTTGGCGTGGGCAGCCCCCAGAAGGAGCGGCGAAGTCACTACAGCCCCCAAGCAGCGGCACCGAGTGAGCAGGCTTGCCGCCGCCCCCTCCGTTCTTATAGAGGCCTGGCCACGCCCCCGCTGGCCACCCCCCGCCCCCACCCCCGCCCCTAAGCCTGCCCTTCCCGGGGAGCGAGGGGCGGGGTGGGGCGGAGCCGGAGCCCTCGGGATCCTTCCGCCTGGGCGCTGACGGCGAGGGCAGGGCGAAAGCTGCCCTCTGATTGGCTCCTCGGGTGAATGGTTGCCTGGAGACGAGTAAATCTTAGGCGGCGGGAAGGGGCGGGGTGCTGAAGGAGGTAGCACTGCGCAGGCGCAACAGACTGGGGCTGAGTTTACACCCCCTTAACTTCGGAGTTACCGGGACTGTCTTTCTACTTTCTGCTCTGCCCTTTTCTGCTGCTGCTGTCACATAACTCTTCCTCCCAGGCTTTTCCCATGTCCGTCCTTCTCACGCCTGTTTTTCTCTTCCTTTTCTGGAGATTTTCGCGTTGGTTCTCTCTCCAGGAGTGGGGAGTGAAACCCCTGCGCCTACCTCTGGCGTGCGTTTTGAAGTAAAAAAAAAAAAAGATTTCTGAGCCAAGGGAAAACCTTCCCTTTTCCCCAAGCAAATTGTCTGGAGGCCATCGGGGGGAAGGGCCGGCGCCATTGGTTCTCTGGCCGAGGTTACCACCTGTGCGCAGTTAGTGGGACTGCGGGCCTCGAGGAATTCGTCGCCAAGCCTGGCAACCGCGACAGCTTGGGCCCTGCTCGAAATGCCGCGTATGTTACATAACATGCAAGCGGGGCTTGGACACCATCCACTCGTTCCATAGCCAGCGGTTTAGAGTCCAGCTTCTAAATTCAGATCAGTCTGGGTTGGGATCTGTACTCACCACCTTTCTGTAAGGCTTTCGGCAACTAAGTTCACCAACCCTCCATAAATCTGTTTGTTCACCTGTTTGACGGGGCGAAAAATGAAGCAGCTTTCTAGGCTTAGATTAATGAAGAACATGGAAACCTGTTAGTGGCAGCGTCTGTTGTAAAGTATGCAGTAAGTGTTGTTTATATCAAACAGCAGTTCTTGTTATTTATTAATAAACATTTACTGAGCTCGTACTCCTCTTCCAATGGGGGGGGGGGGATTACTTCCCAGATGCAGTAATTCCCTATCCCTCCTCTTCCATCCCTGCCTGAAATATCAATGTCTGCCAGTATCTGAAGAGCTCTCAGATGGGAGGAGGAAAGGTCTCCTGGAACCTTAGAGAGGGGATCAGTATGCATGCTTGTAGGGACAGGCACAGTGACTCTATTGTTGGACATGAAATCGGGATATATGGTCTGATTTTTTGTACACTTTTCACGGTATAAATTCAGTACAGTGCACAAAGCTGGTGTGTACACAATGATGAATTTCCACATATGTGTTCTCTCATGGGATTGCCCACCAGATTAAGATGTAGAACATCTCCAGCTTCCTCGTGTCCCTTCCCATTCAGTGTTCCACGAGGGTACCACTTTTGTGATCTCTATCACCATAGATTAGTTTTCCAGTGTTTGAAGTTGATGTGGACGAATTACATATATGTGCGCTTTTGTGTCTGGCTTCTCACACTCCATTTTATTGCATGTAACTATGGTTCAGTCTTTTCCATTGCTGTATATTACTTATATAAATATTCAGTAATTTATATACTCATTCTCCTAGCGGATGTTGGGGTTGCATCACATTTTTGTCTAACATAAAGTAAGTTGCTACAAACTATCACATTTTTCTAGCTTCATTGAAATGTAGTTGACAGAAGAATTGTGTATAGTTAAAGTGAACTACATGATGTTTTGATATACATATACATTGTGAAATGATTACCACAACCAACCTAATTAACATAGCCATCATTTCACCTAGTTACTTTGTGTGTGTGTGTGTGTGTGTGTGTGTAGTGAGAATGCTTAAAATCAACTCTCTTTGCAAATTTCGAGTACATAATACAGTACTATTAATTATAGTCATGCTGTACATGAAATGCCCAGGATGTATCCATCCAGCATAACTGAAACTTTGTACCCTTGGGCCTACATATACATGTGTTTTATGTTGGATTTATACTTGGAATTGCAGGATCACAGAATATATATATACATATATATATAAGGCTTTAAATATACTACCGAATAGTTTACTGAAGTGATATAATAATTTGCATCCCAACTAGTGATAAGAGACTTCGGCATCTCTGCTCCTGTTGGTATTGTCAGTCTCTTCAATTTAAAAAAGTGGGTGTGTATTTCATTGTGATTTAAATTTACATTTACCTGATGATTAGTGATGTTGAGTAACTTTTCATGTGCTTATTGACCATGTGATTCCCTTTCAGTGAAGTGTCTGTTCAAGTCTTTTCCCTGTTTGTAAAGAGTTGCCTATCTTAGTGATCTGTAAGCGTTCTTTACATATTCTGGGCATGAGTCCTTTACCCAATATATATGTATTACACATATCTTCTCCCAGTCTGTGACTTTCTTTTCATTCTCTTAACGTTATCTTTTGGCAAACAGAAATTCTTCTTTTTTTTTTTTTTTTTTTTTTTTTTTTTTTTTTTTTTTTTTTTTTTTTTTTTTTTTTTTT